TTTCTCATATCGCTGTCTTTTTATTATTCCAAACTTTTGGCTACTCAAGCGCCGAATATAATCACATTTTTTCTTATTTTCATAGAATTTCACTGTACTTCCACGTCATTTTTCTAGAATTCCAAATAATTTTCGAACAACACCGAATTAAAACGATCTGAAGCAAACCAAACGTAACTGTTTCGTTCCAAACAGAGCTGCTCCGAACGATTCGAATAGCTCGAAATTGCTACAAACAGTCCGAAATGTTGTTTTCCAAACAAAGCTGCGCCAAACGGTTCGAAACTTTTTCGAACGGTTCAAACTGCTCCGAATAGCTCAAAACTTCTTCGGATAGTTGAAACTGCTCCAAAAAGTATGATAATACTCCAAACAGTATGATAATGCTTCGAATAGTTCACACTGTTCCGAATAGTTCAAGCCGCTCCGAATAGTTAGCTCTCAGTTTCATGGCATAAAGTGACGATGTTAGGCGCCATTTATTATTAAAAGGTCAGATTTTACATAGTTTTTTACTTGTGACAACAACCGTGGGTTAAGTCTGAGCGGAGTAGTTCGAACTCTTCACACCTCGGTTCGGAGCAATTTGAATTGTTCGGAAAAATTCGACTTGTTTGGAGGACGGTTCGAAGCAGTACAAATTGTTTGGAGCAGTGTAAACTGTTTGAACTGTTCAGAGTAGCTTTGTTTGTTCGAAACTGTTTGGAGCAGTTCTTCGGAGTACTGTTTGTATTACTTTGGTGGGATTCAAAAATTAATATTTGAATTATTCCAGATCTTATCACAGTTACAAGCTTTTAAAGTTTGCTTCGACATTTTCAATGTCCCCTTCGATTACATTTTTGAATTTTTTCTTATCCCATTTTATTTCTGTTTCTTTCTTATTTATTAAACTTCTTAAATTGCTATTTATTTATTATTCCAAACTCTTGGACACTCAAGCACCGGGAATAATCAATGTTTGCGTCACTATTTAATATTTAATCTAGGTATCCCACTTTATCTCTATCTTTTTCTTAACTGGTAAGTTTCTTATATCGTTTTCTCTGTCCTACTTATTGGCCAGATATAAAAATTACATCGAGCTAAGTCAAAGGCCGGGAATAGACAAAAATTGAATAAAAAAAACTGAAAAATAAGTAAATTTCAAAATTCAATTTTCGTAGGTACTTTTCATCTTCAGGACAGTGGATTAGGGCCAGTATTTCAATGTCTCCTTGAGGTACAAGATAACGATAAGTTATCCCTAATACAACACTGTATATTAAAGTTTCCTTAATTCAAGGTGGATCTTAAGCTATAATCTCGAGTACAAATGTTATTGAAAATTATAGGCAAGACCAAAATACACCGTTTAGGAAACCTCACTTGACTTGCAGATTACTTGAAAGTGAGGAGGTTAAAAAATCACGAATTACAGCAAGGTAACCACTGCGCAGCAGACAACATTTGTTTTGGGGTGCTCATGCCCTCAATAAATTTATCTCAAATTCAATAAAAACCATGAAAATCATATAAAGGAATTTTATAGGATTTTGCCAGATTTTTTTTGTTCTAATAAAATTTTGTTGGTTTTTAAAGATTTTCAGGGATTTTAAGTAGATCTTACGAGTTTTTCTGGGATTTTGACCAACTTGTATACAAATTTTCATCAATTAACCGCTCAAAGTTTAGTTAACTCCAAAAAGTGTGGTACATAATTGAATCTTTAGGCATTGATTTTGAGGATTTTGAAAAAACTTCACGTGATTCTAAAAGATTTTAGATTTATGAGATTTTAGGTGATTTTGAATCATTTTAGGGAATTTAGAAACGGGTGTTATGGCGTTTTTACCAACTTATTTAGGAAAGCCCCAACGATAAATATTCCATGGGAATTCTGCAAAAATTTTTGTTAATTCCATAGAAATTCCTCAGAATTTTACTAGATTTTATGGAAATCTTTGAAATTCCATTCAAATGACAAATTTGAATAAAAAAACAGAAAGTCCTAGAAATTTTATCATAAGATTTCATAATACTTTTCCGAATTCCACCATAAAATTCGATGGAATTTGTTTAAAAATTCCTCGGAATTACAGTAAAAGATTTCATGGAAATTTCGACAGAAATTACTCAGAATTTCACTAAAATTTAATTCAAGTTTTCGGAATTTTTCGTGGTTCCATGGAAAATTCTGTTTAATTCCAAGAGAATTTTTTTGATATAATTTCACTGAAATTCCACAATAAGATTTTAAGGAATTCCATATAGGTGTAATTCTACGACTATTGCTTGGATTTGTCCAACATCAAACACAATCCTCCAAATTCTCCATAAATTTTTCCAAATTTCCTATAAATTCCCCAAGTTTTTAACAAAGAATTACAAGGTGGTTTGCCTCTTGAAAAATACAGTCTCAGACTTTCAAAGTTTTCTTCGAAAACTATAGTAAAGGCAAAAATTTGAAACTTTTTGCATGTGAGGAGAAAGGTTAAACGCTGATTTTCCCAAAATTTCAAATTTTTCTAGTGGAAAATAACAACATGGAAATTAACCTACAATAACTGAATTATTTGAAAATACAGTCTCACACATTTCAACATTTTCTTGGAAAACTAGTGAACGGAAAAATTTAAAACTTTTTGCATGTGAAAAGGAAAGTTAGAGACTCATTTTCCCATAATTTCAAATTTTTCCATTGGGAAATAGCAACATAAGGAATCTTGGAAATCAACTTACAAAAGCTGAAATAATTGTTAATACAGTCTCACGCAATTCAAAGTTTTCCTGGAAAGCTAATTGAGAGAAAATTTTGAAACTTTTTGCATGTAAAGAGGAAAGTCAGAGGCTTATTTTTGCTAAAATTTCAAATTTTTCTGTATTCAAAAGTATATTAGTATAAACTGAAAAACGGCCGTGTTGGCCGATTTATGAATTTTGAGCCAATTATGAGGAATTTTTGGGTTTACGGAAAGATTTTCTGAAAGATTCCGGAGGGATTTCGGAGTGATTTCGTCGATTTCGGACAAATTTGTGACACGATTTCGGGGAATGATTAACCTCTCGAAGATTTCATTAAAATTATTTGGAATTTCACTTAAATTTTAAGTTATTCCATGGGAATTCCGCGAAAATTTTAAGTAATTCCATAGAAATACCTTAACATTTTAAAGATTTTATGGAATTCTTGGACAATTTTTTTTCGGAATTACAGTATAGGATTTCATGAAATTCCTCGGAATTCCACTAAGATTTCAATTTCAAAATTCCATATTTTTTTTTAACTTTACAAAAATTCCCCAAAATGTTACCGCTGAAATCCTGGAATTCCACAAAAATTCTTCGGAATTTTATTGACATTTCATGTAAATTCTTAAAAATTCCTCGGAATTTACTAAAATTTTATGAGAATATCTACGTTCATAGCTGAAAATTTCTCGAAAGTCCAATGAAACTTCAAGGAATTTTCCAAAATTTAACTTATTTTCATAAGAATTTTTCGGAATTTCACTGAAATTCTCTTTTGTTAGGAATTTCTGGAAATAATAATGAAGTAATTTCTTAAAAATTCACCGAAATATATTAAAATTTCATGTCGTTATATGGGAATTTTTCGGAATATCACCGAAATTCTACGTTTTTAGTTGAAAATTCTTCGGCATTACTGAAATTCAGTAAGCACTGAAATTTCATGTTGGGAATTTCGGTGTAATTTCATATAATTATTTAAAATTCCTCCATGTAATTCATTTAGGATTTCGTGTAATTCGATCGGAATTTCACTGAAATTTCAAATAATTCGAGATGAATTGAAATTTAATGTGAATTCTATGGAAACTCCGCAAAAATTTCACATCTAATTCCTTTTTCAGAATAACATAATTATTCTTCCAAATTCCTGGAAATTCCATTAAATTATGAAATTCTGAGACTAACAGATTTTTGGGGATTCTAAAAAATATTTGGGAATTTTAAAGGAAATATTTTTCAGGAATGTTAATGATTTTGTTTTGAATATTTCCGATTTTTGATTGGCTCCAAATTATCCGCTGATTAATAGAATTATAGACTGGGGGGCCCTAGCCCTTCGGGCTCGCGTATAATTCCGGCCCTTCGGGCTCACATATTACTCCGGCCCTTTAACCTCACATATAATTTTAGGCCTTCGGGCTCGCGTATAACTCTAGCCCTTCGGGCTCGTATTACTTCGGTCCTTCGGGCTCGCATATGACTCCGGCCCTTCGGGCTCGCATATGACTCCGGCCCTTCGGGCTCGCATATGACTCCGGCCCTTCGGGCTCGCATATGACTCCGGCCCTTCGGGTTCGCCTATGACTCCGGCCCTTCGGGCTCGCATATGACTCCGGCCCTTCGGGCCGGTATTACTGAGTATCCCAGATTCACAGATTTTTGTCGTGAAGGCGCGGGATTGATTGAAATAATGTTGTCAAATTTTTCTACATTGAAATATCGAAATTTGGAAAGTGTAATTTGTGAATTATTATTTTAATTAAAAATTAGAAATAAAAAATTGAGATTGAATTTTCAATTTTTTGGGGGAGGCTTAGTCTCCCCTGCCTCCTCTGACGAGCCGCCGCTGGAGGGTGGTTTAAGGGGGTAAAGCTAATAATTGCGATTCATTGAAAAAATGGTTTTTGTGAAAATATAGACATTTCCACCCTATCTGAATGAACTGATTTCAAGTTCCCCTTAAAGATAAGGTTACCTTAGATTTAAGGTAACATTGAAATACCGGCCCTCAGTGTCACGTCTCTAAAAAATCATAATTTTAATGAGGAAATTCTCATTTTTCCCGAATAATTTCCAGGCTTTCAAGAATACCCTTATATTATAAGTACAATATATTATAGTAGTTGTTAAATATGGAGAGAAATTTATATTGGGGATAAGTGTACCATGTTAGGGTCAATGTCAACTCTGATAAAATCCCCTAAAAACAAAGCCTTCTTTTCCCTATTGAAAATTCTGGTCTGTTTCAAATCATAATAGGTTTCCTCTCTCTTCTCAAACTACAAAAAAAAGGGCCTATTTTCCATTATTCCCCCAACACTGATGACTACCTTGTGTATTCTCCACGTCGAGCGTTAAAATTGGCGTTAACTTCTCCCCGAAAGATGCGAACCGATAATAATAGCAATCCAAGGTACTTGAGGAAATGGGCTTCTTTCCTCATTATTTACGCATGTATGATGGACCTTTTTGTATGTTAAATTACTCATAAATCATTTCAACATTGCATTGCATTGCCCTCTTTGAATCATTTGCTGAAACCCCTTTGTATCGATTTATGTGAACAACAATGGAAATCTGCCTCTTACTATAATAGCAGGTATTGATTAAACGAGTATATATAGCAGGAATCTGTATATTTAAGCTTGGATCAATATGAAATTTTGTTTCCATTAAAATTAAATAGATGTTACTTACCACATTTACTTCTACTAATTGTCTCCGATAAACTATTGTAGGATTTGGTTTGCGAATGATGATGAAGCGGCTTAGTGTCGATAGTCAGGCCTGCACAAAAAAAAAAACCTCGTAAAAGTCAAGTTGAAAAATTACTGCTCACTTTGCTATTAAGGCAAACAATGCCGGTTAAATTGCCCGTTTTCGTTGTTTGCTTAGTGGTTGTTTGGCACGCATCATCCCTCTTTTTCACCCTGGGTCGCACCCGTGGGAACGCGAGACCACACACACACACCCTCGTTTATAGGTTGGTGTGGAAAGAGTGTTTTGATCAGAGGAGAAAGAGAGTAAAGATCATAAACAGTGAAAAATTTCTAGAAAAAACAACTTAGAGTTCCAATGTACATACATATATGATTTAGATTTTGGAAAACTTTGGCATGTCATAACTTTTTTTCTAATATAGATAGAAAGCTGAAACTTTCACTGAATTTTATCCCAATCAAGGGACTACAATTCCTGAGAATTTCAGCTCATTTGCACTTATAGTTCCTGAGACAAAATCCTGTTAAGTAATTTGGGATGATTTATCAATTTTTCAATTTTTCTGAGTGCCTTTTTTCATAGATTTCGGTTTCAAATCTGAGAATAATTTAGTGTACGAAATTTGGGGGATGTTGATTAACCATTAGGATACGAAATCTCGACAATTTTTTTTTTTGATATTTCATTGTTTCAGTAGGAAGGTACCTACCTTATGATTTAGATTTTGGAAAACTTTGACAGGTCATAACTTTTTTTCTATTATAGATAGAAAGCTGAAATTTTCAGCGATTCCTATTCCACTAGAGGATTGTAATCCCTGAAAAT